GGAAAAGCGATCTGTCAATCAACTGACAACTGGGTTCTCAGTTACTGTTAGGAGTAAAGAAACTTGTTCAACGTTTCGCCCTGCCAGGAATTAAACACAGGTCTCTCACTTGCAAGGCGAGTGCTCTAACCACTGAGCTACAGGTCTCCATCTGGGACTTGAACCCACAATCTTCTGACTCAGAAACGAGAGAGCTACCAACTGAGTCAGCCTGACTTACACTACTTTAGGCAATCAGAGTATGGACTGAATCTGGTAATTATTAATGCATCATATATAATGTACTCCCTTAATTAAGGAATTTTAAATAAATAATAATTATTCTTGAATTTCATATAGCGCTTTTCACATCTTCTAGACATCTCAATGCACTTCACAGAATATACTGTAAAGTGAATCAACTGTACATTTCTGTGGGCGAAATACAGCAGCCCAATTGCACACAGCAGTGTCCCACAAGCAGTCGTGGATTGAAGTGACCATTTTTTTATTATTTTTTTTCTTGAGGGATTATTATCAGATATGTAGAGTAAGGAAACTTGCCTAAGGTTTTGCCTGCTGAGAGGTCTCTCGCTTGAGAGGCAAGTGCTCTAATCACTGAGCTACAGGACTCTACAATTCAGCTAGAAATCACCACACACTGGACAACAACAACTTGCACTTATATGCACCCTCAAAGCAGGGTAGCGTCTCAGAACACTTTTCTCCATCATGAACCGACTCCTCCGCCCACCCTCTCACGCCTCACCCATCCTCACCTCAAATGCCAACTGCAAGACAATGTTGGACCTCCTCGAATCCAAAATTGAGGGAATCCGCTCAGCTGCCTCTACCACTGCAACTACTATCCCCTCCTCCCACCCCAGCCTCTGCCCACCCCCCTCTCCACACCTTTGAACCCGTCTCGCCCTCCTCTCTCATCACCACCATAACCCGTATGAAACCCACCCCCTGCTTTCTGGATCCCATCCCTACCCCCCTCCTCACCGCCCAGCTCCACCTCCTTGCCCCTCTACTCACTGACATTGTTAACCTCTCCCTGTCCTCTGGTACTGTTCCCACCCCTTTAAAAAACACTGTCATCATTCCTATCCTGAAAAAACCCTCCCTGGACCCTTCTCTACTCTCTAACCAACGCTCCATCTCCAACCTTCCCTTCCTCTCCGAGGTCCTAGAACGAGTTGTTGCTTCCCAGCTTCGCTCCTTCCTCTCCCACCACTCCCTTCTCGAACTTCTCCAATTGGGTTTCCGTGTCACCCACAGCACAGAAACCGCTGTGGTCAAAGTGACAAATGACATTCTGTCCATCTGTGACCAGGGCTCCCTCTGCCTCCTCATCCTCCTTGACCTTTCTGCTGCCTTTGACACTGTTGACCACTCTATCCTCATCCACCGCTTCTCCTCTCACCTCAACAGCGCTGTCCTTGATTGGTTCAGATCGTACCTCTCACACCGCCTGCACTTCATCTCCTCCAATGGTTTCTTCTCTAGCCCATGAACCGTCTTGTGCTGCGTTCCTCAGGGCTCTGTCCTTGGTCCCTCCTCTTCAATATCTATCTGCTCCCTCTTGGTGACATCATCCGCAGACATGGCGTCAACTTCCACATGTATACGATGACACCCAACTCTACCTCTCTGCTCCACCCTTGATTCCGGTACCACTGCTGTGCTGTCAGAATGTCTGTCAGACATCAAGTCCTGGATGAGAGCTAACTTTCTTCCATTGAACGTCAACAAGACCGAGGCTCTCCTGATTGGCTTCCGTCAGCGGCTCGTCACCTCAGGCGCTGACAGCATCGCCATCCATGGATACAGACCTCCACCTCACTGAGCCAGTCCGGAACCTTGGGATCTTGTTTGACCCTCAACTATCCTTTCTACCCAACATTTTCACCATGACCCACTCTGCTTCCCCCACCTGCACAACATCGCCCGGCTCCGACACTGTCTCACACCGCAGGCCACCAAAACCTTCATACACGCCTTCATTACTTTGAGGCTCGACTATGCAAACTCCCTGCTTGTCGGCCTCCCCAACTCCTGCCTCCACAGGCTGCAGATCATCCAGAATTTTGCAGCCTGTGTCCTCTCCCACACCAGGGTCCGTGACCCTATCACCCCCATCCTTGCCCAACTCCACTGGCTTCCCATCACACAGAGGATACAGTTCAATATCCTGGTTCTCACCTTCAAAGCTCTCCATGGTCTTGCTCCCCCCTACCTCTGCGACCTCCTAAAGTCCCTACCATCCTATTCGCCCCATCTGCTCAGCCGGTTCTGGCCTGCTTCACATCCCCGTCTTGCTCGCCGCACTCTCGGCGGGCCTTCCGCCACTCTGCACCCGCCCTCTGGAACTCCATCCCGCAGTCCTCCGCCTCGCCACCTTCAAGACCCAAAGACCCTCCTCTTCGATCGTGTTTTCGATCCCCCTGCCCTCCCCACCCCCCCAGCTCAGATCCAACTCTGTCTATCCAGCACCTTGGGACATCCTCCCGACATGAAAGGCGCTATATAAATGTAATTCTGTTGTTGTAACAGTGATGGGCCTGACTCCGCACATGGGGTGGGGGTTTAGGTGGCCGTAAATACGGTCGAAGAGGAAGGTTTTCATGCGGGACTTGAAAATGGAGGCAAAGCAGAGAGATTGAGGGAGAGTTTTCCAGAGTTTCGGGGCATAGTGGCTGAAAGCGCAACATCCGATGGACAAGGCACGGGATGAGCAGGAGACCGGTGCCAGTCGAACGGAGGCGCCGCGTGGTGGATTGGGATGTGAGGAGGTCGGAGAGGTAGGGAGGTGCCAGAGAGTGAAGGGATTTGAACACAAGCGTGAGTTTGTGTTATCCACAATGTTCTTTCAATAAATCCAGAGCATTCGGTGACCTATTTTACTGGAAATGAAAAATTACAGCAGAGAATCCCAAACCACCCATCTTACATTAACTTTTATTATTTCAGTTTGGCATTTAAAAAAAATCTGCTCCTCAAAGTAGGTCACCTCTCCCATCCCATTAAGGATTGATAATCTGCTTTCTTCCCTTGACCAATCTGTAACATTCCTTGGACAAGACCATGATATTAGTTCCACTCCCTCTCCACCCAACCACCACCAATGAGGATGAAGTTTTTAAAATGACACGAATACTTCAAGCAGTCCACCAACAATCAGGAACTTCTCTTATGAGGAACACAGAGGGTGAAAACCCACATACCATAAATCAGCAGCACATTTTTAACATAAGCTCATTGCATTCCCATCAGTTAACTTTACAACAACAACAACAAGATTCCATTTATAGAGCGCCTTTCACGTTGGGAGGACGTCCCAAGGCGCTGGGCAGTTGGGTCAGGACCCGAGCATTGGGAGGGAAATGGTGAGGGGAGGGAAGGGAGGGAGCGAGGAGTGGGTAGAGAGTCGAGAGGGGAGCTGAAGCCACGGTCAAAGAGAAAGGTCTTGAGACCGGCCTTGAAGGAGGAAAGGGAGGAGGCGGCGAAGGCACTGGGGGATAGAGTTCCAGAGCCTCGGGGCGGAGAGGCTGAAGGCCCGACCACCAATGGTAGGGCGGTTGGGGCGGGGAATGTGGAGCAGACCGGAGCCAGAGGAACGGAGGGGACGGGCAGGGAGGAGGGGGACGGGCAGGGAGGAGGGGGACGGGCAGGGAGGAGGGGGACGGGCAGGGAGGAGGGGGACGGGCAGGGAGGAGGGGGACGGGCAGGGAGGAGGGGGACGGGCAGGGAGGAGGGGGGACGGGCAGGGAGGAGGGGGACGGGCAGGGAGGAGGGGGACGGGCAGGGAGGAGGGGGGGGGGGGGGGGGGGGGGGACGGGCAGGGAGGAGGGGGACGGGCAGGGAGGAGGGGGACGGGCAGGGAGGAGGGGGACGGGCAGGGAGGAGGGGGACGGGCAGGGAGGAGGGGGACGGGCAGGGAGGAGGGGGACGGGCAGGGAGGAGGGGGACGGGCAGGGAGGAGGGGGACGGGCAGGGAGGAGGGTTATTACTGTTGTTACACAGTATACTGAATGTAACAAGTACTTGACAACATTCCATATGGTGTGGATCACAGGTACTGTGAGATGTTGTGCAAACACTTATGAACAAATACACACATGAACACATACAATACAAATATATCTTCACCATTGTTGTGGAAACACATTTCATGTAGCAACTTGTACAACTACAAGTAGCCTTACTGATTTTCTTAAAGTGAGTAAACCCTAAATACAGAATTATGTTGATGTAAGTATTTACATCATATTTCAAATGATTATTGTTGAATTTGATTGGAGTGCAATCAGTTAATGTGATCCACTAATCAGCAACAAAACCAGTCAATTTCACACTTGGTGAAAACTCTGGTGTGTTTCACTGCAATAAAACAATGTGGATCCTGTCTTTTGCTATCAGTTCACGCCACATCAGAGCTGATCTCAATCACTTCGTGGTGACCTTCGCTTATTCCGCATTAGTCTAAATGGGTTTGCATCGTGTACAGTGATATAGTAAAGAAACGTGATCAATATTCAGTGTTATAGTAATTAAGCGTTGTCATTATCAGAGACCTGGAATGGAAGGTCTGCAGTTAACACCACTGTTTACACCAGTGACACAGTGAAGTGAAGTGAGGGCGAAGTTCACGTTAACAGCTGTGATCAGTCCAGGAAACCCCAACCAACACAGCGACAGAGATGTTAGTGTCTCGGACCCTCGGGGCAGTGGGCAGACAGAGCCCCCGCGGGCGGTGTGGCCGCCCCCCGGGGAGCTGACACCGGCCTTCAGGAGCCGCGACACTGCACAGCATTGCCTCCGCGCCTCCAGGCCCTGCGACCCGGGCGGCGGCAGAGAGCGACACAGACAACCTGAGCCCCGCGGCTCCGGCCCGGCCCGGCCAGGCCAGGCCCAGCCCAGGCCTCGCTCTCGCTCTCGCCCCCGCCCGGTGTCAGGCCTCTCGCCCCCGCCCGGTGTCAGGCCTCTCCCCCCCGGGGGCGCTGTGAGCTACTCACGGTCTCGGCGCCGGTGGGCTGCGGCCCAGCGGTCGGACCGCCCATCACTCCTCGGAAGAAGTTCATGGTGACTGGAGGCGGCGGCTCGAGCCGATCCCCACAGCGGGCCACAGGCGGCACTGCGCCTGCGCCGAGACGTGGCAACACGTGGCGACTCAACAACCGTGTTCGTCACTTAAAGGGGCAGTGTCACCGCTGCCTTTAAAGGGGAAGTGCGCTGACCGTACAGTGTCTGAGTTTGGCAAAAATGTGTCACCGCCTCCTCCAGATGGAGGAGGTGCAACCAGTGACTGTTTCAGCACTGGCAGCCTGGCTCAGGGATCCAGTGAAGTGAATGACCATTAATGTGGTCCTTGTCCCTCGAATCCTCTGCTCCACCATAGCCTTCAGCCACCACACCCCGAAGCTACGGAACTCCGTCTCTCAATCCCTTCGCCTTGCCCCTTCTTTCCCCGTTTTCGGTTTTGTACCCGAAGACCTTCCTCTTTGAGAAAGCTATATACATGCAAGTTGTTGTGAAGAAAACCTTCCTTCACATAAAATACCGGCTCAGAGTGCTTCACAGAAACACTGCTGGACGCCAAGACAATGCAGGGAGGGGGTGCAGTCAAATTGTAAATTTATAATGATAATAATCGTTACATCAGATATGGTGCCTTATCACTTTGTCAATGCATCTCAAAGCATTTCACAGGTTATACTGTAAAGTGATGTCACTATGTATTTTGTGCATACGTTTGAAGACAGATAGAGAGAAAATGAGGTGAAGGGGTTGACAAAGATTTCCAGAGGGCACAGTGGCTGAAAGCTTGGACACTGATGATGGACGATGACGGCGGGGAACGCATAGCAGGCTCGAGTGTGCTGAATGGAGGAGGCGAGCAGAAGAGTGATTTTGGAGAAAATCACAAAGATAGGGAGTTGCAAACGAGTCATGAGATTTGTAAGTGAGCATGGGAATCTTGAAGCCAATCCTAAGGGGGAGTCAGTGGAACCTGGTGAGGTTGGGGTGACGGTGATGTAAATTTTTTGTGGGTAGGGTGTGGCTGGTGGAGGTTTAGATGAGCTGGAGACTGACAAAGAAGGCATTTAAAGAGTTGATTTTGGAGATGATGAATGTGTGATTGAGGGATTTTGGCAGCACTGGGGTGCAAGGGATGCAAGTGAGCATTGTGCAAGGGGTACAGAATACCAGTCTGAGTCAGGGACTAGTGAATGATAAATTAGTTATTCACTGTGTGCAGTCTTGCTGTGTGTGGGGTCCTGCTGTGTATGAGCAGTTGCTGTGACTGCCTACAAATACACAGTCACTACATTTGAGAATGATTACCCGTGAGGCACTTCAAATATTTTTATATAGTAGATGCTCTGGCAAATACAATATTTATTTAAATTAGATCTGGGCCTTATTCTCCACTTGCAGATACTGCATAAATATGATCAATACTTTGATGTAGTTCTCTCGGACGATACAACAACAGCAAAATTACATTTGTATAGCGCCTTTAACAACAACAACAACAACATGATTGCATTTATAGAGCGCCTTTCACGTCGGGAGGATGTCTCAAGGTGCTGGACAGTTGGGTCGGGACCCGAGCAGGGGGGAAATGGTCAAGGTGAGGGGAGGGAAGGGAGGGAGGGAGCGAGGAGGGAGTAGAGAGTCGAGAGGGGATCTGAAGGCACGGTTGAAGAGAAAGGTCTTGAGATCGGCCTTGAAGGAGGAAAGGGAGGAAGCAAGGCAAAGGCACTGGGGGCTGGAATTCCAGAGCCTAGGGGCTGAGAGGCTGAAAGCCCGGCCACCGATGGTAGGTCGGTTAGGGCGGGAGATGTGGAGCAGACCGGAGCCAGAGGAACGGAGGGTACGGGCAGGTAGATAGGAGGATAGTAGGTCAGAGTGGTCAGTAGGATGTCCCAAGGTGCTGGACAGTCAGTGTTTTGAACCTGAGCTGGGGGTCGGGATTGGGGAGGGGGGAAGCGGGATGATCAAAAGCACAGTCGAAGAGGAGGATCTTGAAGGAGGTAAGGGAGGGGGGCGAGGCGTAGGGACTGAGGATTGGAGTTCCAGAGGGTGAGGGCAGATTGGCAGAAGGCCCACCTGCCAACGGTGGGATGGGCGAGGCGGGGGGGCATGAAGCAGGCTGGAGCCTGCTGAGTGGAGGGAGTGGGCAGGTTGGTAGGGGGTTAGAAGGTTTGCAGAGGTAGGAGGGAGTAAGACAATGGAGGGCTTTGAAGGTGAGGACCATGGTCTTGAACTGTATCCTCTGTGTGATGGGAAGCCAATGGAGTCGGGTGAGGATGAGGTTGATAGGGTCACGGAGCCTGGACATGGGCTGCAGAGTTCTGGATGATCTGCTGCCTATGAAGGGAGATGGGGAGGCTGACAAGCAGTGAGCTTGCATAGTCAAGCCTCGATTTTATGAATGCATGTATGAGGGTTTTGATGGCCTGCAGTGTGAGATAGTGGCGGAGCTGGGCGATGTGTGGAGGTGGGGGAAGGCAGAGAGGGTCATGGCATGGATGTGGGGTAGAAAGGATAGTTGAGGGTCAAACAATATGTCAAGGTTCCAGATTGGCTTAGCAAGGTGAAGTGTGCATCCTTGGATGGTTATGCTGGCAGCGTCTGAGGTGTGGAGGCGCTGACGGGAGCCAATCAGGAGGGCCTCGATCTTGTTGACATTGAACTGAAGAAAATTAGCTCTCATCCAGGACTTGATGTCTGACAGATACATATAGATATATAAGTAGCAAAGAGGTTTATGGATGGCAACCGTAAGGCAAAGAAAGAGTGCTTTGCAAGTATTTACAATTATTTGTAGCTCAATAAGTGTAGTTATGCTACTAATGCTCAGAGGCACTGTTTTGTGGAATTCCAAAATCACCCACTCTCTCTCCCAATTAATTGTACACCTCCTCTTAGTGGGTGAGAAGTCAGTATTCACAGTAGATTATCTGCACCGATTTTATTCTCACCTTTTTATCGAAGCTAAATTTCACTCCAGGGGCGGACAAAAGCAAGTAAGCTTGTATGAATATCAAAAATGGAAATGTTATATAATAAATAAGACTGTATATTTGGAAGGAGGAGGGGTTTGGGGGTCTTTAATGAGATTCTATGCACCCAGGCAGAATGGTTATATAAGTAATCCAAGACGTAACCGATTTCGATCATCTTTATAATTGCTACAGCTTGCAGCATTTTTCTCTCCTGTTACTGTCTTTTCAATACCTGTAGTTGTATTTACCCCTTCCATACCAACCTCCCTCCCTGCTTCTGATCTTCATGGCTTTGATATTCCTTAGCCCAAACTGAAGTTACTTTCATTTTGTGAAGGACTTGGAGGGGCAAACTATGAAATGTGTCTGAATATAAAACAGCTTTCCACCCAGTTTAATTTCTCTGGTTTTCAGCTTACATAATGACATAAATCACAAGATTGTCCCTTGAACACTGGGAGGCATGGATTCTTCAGACTCGGGTCCTATTATCCCTGCAAGCCAAAGGCCGAACGTGTAGGGTTATCCTAGCTGGACAAGCAGTGGGAAAGCTCTGTGGTTCTAACTAATTAACATCCAGCAGTACACTTTTTTTTGGTCAGCCTTTATCCATGGTCTGACACATGGAGAAACCCATCATCATGCTTAAGAGTATCCAAACCAAACTGAGAGTTCCATGCTCCCGCCTACACAAGGAAATTCCAAAGGTGTTTATTAGAATGGAATGCACACTGGAGGGATGCATCCTGCTTACCTGCTTACCTAATTCCAGAAAATATTAGGCACAGGTTGGCAAGAGCCAAGGCTTGAGAATCCCAGAGTGTTCATTGGGGTAACTGCTGGAGTCTAAAACAGCTAAACCCTCATAGATTGCCATTGATATCATTGTCTGGCAAGCTTTCCCACTGCTTGTCCAGCTAGGACAACCCCACCCATTAGGGCTTTGACTTGCACATTTAACAAGCTGAGTGGGTGGATTCCCTGCTCTTGGTACTGGTTTGCCCTTCCAAGTCCTGCTGATGAGCCAAGTCCTGTGCTGCCATTAGCAGTGCCCTGGAGTCCAGCAGACCTGCCTGGCTCAGGAACTGGACTACCGATACCGCAACATAGGCTCAATTCTGATTTTGTTGCCAAACTTGTCACCTTGGAGCCAGTTCAGCTCCAAGGAGACCCCTCTTACCTCCCCCAAGGAGTATAATCACTAGCTGGTCACTTGATACCTGACGGGCGTGAGTTTGAGCCCTAACTAGGTAGGTACCTGCAAGCTTCCTGGTGGCCATCACAGCTCAGCATGAAATGCGTGAGAGCATTGTCACCAAATTCCTCCCCACGGCTCAGACACATATCCATTTCTATTGAACAATGCTTACACCAGTTGAAGGCACAGATCTTAAACAGTGGCTGCTTACCTCTCTGCAAACCATTCAAGTGGGTTCCAAGCGTTGGATATACAAGCAACAACAACAACAACTTGGATTTATAGAGCGCCCTCCACGCCGGACGGTGTCTCAGAGCGCTTCACAGTAACGGATCCTGGGACCGAGCCAGGGGGAGGGGGAGGAAAGTGACCAAAGGCGCGGTTGAAAAGAAAGGTCTTCAGCCAAGGCCTGAAAATAGGAAGAGAGGGGGCGAGGCGAAGGGAGTGAGGAAGGGAGTGAGGAAGGGAGTTCCAGAGCCTCGGGGCGTAGTGGCTGAAGGCACGGCCGCCGAGAGTGGAGCGGAGGATTCGGGGACAAGGAGGAGGCCTGACCCGGTGGAGCGAAGGCAACAGGCACTGTTTTGAGGAGAGAGGTCAGGAGGTAGGGGGGGTTCAGAGAAGTGGAGGTATTTGAAGACAAGAGTGAGGATCTTGAAGTCGATCCTCTCTGGGACAGGCAGCCAGTGCAGTCTGGCAAGGACTGGGGTAATCGGGGAGCGGAGTTTAGTGCAGATAAGAATGCAGGCGGCAGAGTTTTGGATGACCTGGATTTTATGAACAACAACAACAAGATTACATTTGTAAAGCGCCATTCACGTCGGGTGGATGTCCCAAGGTGCTGGACAGTGTACAGCATTTTGAGCTGGGGTCAGGGGGGGAGAGGGGAGGGGAGGGAAAGGGGGGGTGGCCAATGGCATGGTCGAAGA